GTAAGTAATGACTAATCGATTAGATTTGGGTGGTTCAAAAAAACATCTTATGTTTTTTTCGTTATAGAGATACATAAATACATACGTCCCATCTATGTGTATGTGTCTAGACCCAAACATAGTCCATTAATTCTTCTTCAGCGCTTTAAGAAAGTGGAATAGTACTTTCCGGCGAGGTACATACAAATTTGATAATACTTCAAGATGTAAATAGCCAGTTCGCTCAAATAATAGTGTTAGTGCTTCAGTTATTCATATTAAATTAAGATAATTATTAACTAAGTATTTCTCATTTGTCAACATTAATGACTATTCGATAGGCACTACCAATTCTCAAGCTTTCTATTCAAAATATTGAGTACATATATCACATTTCCTCTTTGGAAACCTTATTATTTACACCATTCTCGGCGCCTTGCACTCCAACCCATCCAAAATGAGTATGTAAGTGCGCTGTCTAAAATGTAATTTATCGAACCACTTAGGCATATAGCATTCATAAACATACGAATGAACCTATTCCACGCAGTGCAACGCCTTTGCCAAGGAATGAAGCTGGCTCAGCAAGTTACAGTTATACGGTCCAGTGAACTTCCTAAGCACTTCTCGAAAGATCGTGTACCAAGTAAAATAACATTTTTATTTTTCGCTGTGTCCACAATTTATCGTCGATTTTTTAATACCAACTTTAAGAACTATAACGATTTGTCGCGCACCTTTGGCTTACAACCGTTTAGGGCTGTTTATCCATTTCAATTAATTTTTTGCATTCTTAACCACTTTTTGAAAGTCTCCTAAAACTATCAAGCTGAGGTCTAAACTACGAGTATACTCGTAAATACTAAAGTTGCCTTTCCTTCGATCCATCTACGTCCACCGCTATTGAAGTGGGCGCTGCCTCTCTTACATTGTGAATTGTTAAAAATGTATTTGCTTGTTCGTGGGTTTCGTTCTAATAACACAAATGTAGTTGTCTTTTTTTCACTTCAATCCATTAGCTTCGGGTGGGGTGCAAGTAGCACATTCCCCAAAAAATCAGGTCCACTCTCTGGTCGCCAGTGGTGTGTTTTGATAGCATTAAATTGCATGTCACCCGTTCAGTCTATGTCCATTGATTGATGGCAGTTGCTGGTGGTCAGGCAACTATGAAAAACGGGAAACTGTTTAAAGAATATAAAAATGAACATGAAATGTATCGGCAGTTTGAAATCGTTAATGGCTTTTTCTTAATCCGGCCTAGGCAATTTATTGGCGCGCACTCCCTTGACGAGGATTGAAAACTAATTAAAAGAGCTTATTTACTACTTGTATTAAACAAAAATAAATTAGCTTAACGTTCGAAAAAAATTGTTGTTAAATGAAAGTAAGCGGGACCAAACTTTTGTTGCAAAATAATTATCATTTCCATTTAATTTAGTTGCTTAAATCAACATGATTTGCGCAAATAATAACTTAATATAACGATGTCTGATTAATAGGATTGATTCTCCAAAATATGCTATAGAAAAGCTTGAATATCATGTATAGTTGACACACTATTGTACATATTACTCAGAATATAAGACCCCGTATAGCTTATAGCAATGGTTGAAACATTAGTAAAATGCACCCTAAACATGATGAACATTGTTATTGCTTTTCCGTTGATTTTTTTGTATTTTTATATTTGTTTGCCAAAAGAAACGCAAGCATACTAAAATGCATTTTGGACAAATATGTAGGTGCAATAAAAAGCATTTAATAAAGGTATCTTATTTCATCGGACATGGAGATATAAATTGCTCATTGATTAGTGCACTAGACAAGGAACATAATAATCGCTAATAAGAAGTAGCATATAATAATAACAATAATAATAATTTAAATAAAATAGAACAATACCCTACATTAATTATATACAAACATACATACATATATGTAGATATAGATAACAGCACTTCAGTGAATTATATTTAGTCAAGCTTTGTGCCAATTATGAAAGTCAATTGTCTCAATTCTCTTTGAATCATCGTCGTAAAGAGCACACGCTAAAAAACTATTGTAGCGTAAACCAAAGAATGTATTATTTACAATTATTGGGTAATACGTTTATAATTTTGGAGTTAAGTAGCAAACAGTTCGACGAAATGTAAATTTCATGTGAACAAACGATCCTAATGTCAATTTCAAGTAAAACTTTATTGTAGTCGTGACATACATATGTGTGCATGTACGTATGTATGATCAATTAAGAATACCAAGCAGCTAATAGAAATAGCTGCACAAATAATACTATATATAAAATTAAACCTAAAATATAAGTCAAGGATATTCAATTAATGTGCAAACGAGTTACTTTATCAAACCGACAAAATATATGTATGTAAATTTAGTGTTTAGCAACAGGCTTTGCATCATTGATTACATCTCTAAACCCATTTCGATGCAGGCGAGTATTTTATGTACTTATGTACTATATGTATATTTGTTGGAAAGATTAGGTACATTGTAAAAAGTTCGAACAAAGCAATTTTAAGCGTGATGTAGTTTTTGTTTTTTAACGAAACCGAATAATATAAAATGTGATTTTGCTATAAAAAAGTATCTAAAAAATATCTTACTGCTGCATTCCGAATTCCATTGGAACTGCGTCTATTGAATAGCTTGTATTCGCGCACTGTATTTTGTAGAAGTCAGCTTTTTGTCAGCGTAGTAACGTGAAAAGTATTGCATTCTTTTAGGCTGCTGCTGCTAACTTACTATACATACACAAATACTTCGTTATGCCGTTGTAACCGCCACCGCGACCGTCACCACCATCTTGCTGTCCTTAAGCACGTTACATAATATTAAAGATGTGGTTACTGGTCATTGTATGTACTGTTATTCTACTGACTAATTATATAAATGGAGTCCAAATAAAAGCCACCGCCTCTATTTCTAACTAAACTTAGAAGGAAATTGTGAACAAAAATTGTGTCTACTATACATATATAACTATAACATTAAACTAGATATGCATATGTACATATGTATGTACATAAGTATGTACCGCACATGCAATACACAAATGTAATACGAAATATACTTATATACAGCAACAGATACATACCTATATATGTATACATACACATTTACCTATTAAACAATGTATTTAAAGCAGATATATACATACATACTCGTATATACATAGTATATACATATATGTGCTACTCCTTTTTGGACAAATTTTTAATGCTGCAACTACAAATGAAATGAAAGATGTAACAAAATAAAAGAGCTAAATCATGGGCCATAGACAAATGAATAGATTAGCTGCAATCTTGCCGAGCGTAAAAAATTTCATGTGAACACTAAAATAAATGCCATTCATAAGGCTGGAAAATACATACACACTTAGTTTCATATGGAGCCGGCCCATTGTTGAACTTTTAATTGTATTGACAAGGCCAACAAATTGCGCACGGCGTCTTAGAGAACAAATGCAGCACATTCACCCACACACTTACGTATATATAATATTTTATTACTCCCATAGTTGCCCATCATGTGCTCTTCCCCAAGGACAAATATTTACTTTGAAGTCTAATTGACTATCGATGTGTAGCCATCACAACGAGAGATACTCTTCTCTACGCTGACTGCAAAATACCACCATATTTAAAATATATATAACTAACAGAACTTGTTTTTAATTTAAGGTACGAGGGTAAACGGTTATAAGTAAACGATAGAGAATATGCGAATCAAGATAAACTAAATCAAGATACTCGTATTTGACGCATATTTTCAGTCTGAAAGACACCAATGAGGCGCCCATAAGAAACAATTTATATTATTGAATTTAGTCTGTATACAAAATATTAAATATATATTTTATTAGTAGAAACATTTAATAGTAAATACAACATACAATACTAAATAAAACAAAACGTGCATCTTGCTAAATGTTACGAAATAAATACAGAATATTCTTCTTAGAGATAAGGGGCTTTTGAAAACCAGAAGTCAATGCTAATACTGGAGGCAGCCCTACAAAAATGTTAAGTTTTCCGCTTTAAGTGTCAAACTAGCTAAATATTGTAATTAAACTAAATTAGGCACTAATATGCTTGCCAGTTAAAGAGGCAAAGCTAAACCACAAGCTTAATTTCCAATTAACCCGTGGCGTACACCATTTTTAACAAACTGTTAGTGCAAATTTTTATTGTATATTACAAAATTACGTATTTTACAGTATAATTTACGGTTAAATAAAAAATATTTACGTTAAGCGCGTCGCGTTATTTGTTAAATTAAAGGCATTATAGAGCAACCTTATTTACATTTTTTAACCAAAATGTTAATGGCCAACAAACTTTATTGCCGCATTATTGGCAAGGAAAGGTTGCCAAGGATATACAAAACAATAAACATTACAAAAAGCTAGATATTATTAAAAGTACGAAGAAACCGGCAAAAGAAAACAGATACGATAATAATGGAAAATATTATACAGACAACCACTGTAACAGAAAACAAACTGCAGAAGCAGAACAAATTAATAATAACTAAATATTAAAATAAATAACTTATAATGTTTACATTATTTCTTAATCAGCATGTCGAGAAAAATCAATTTAGACATCCGTCTGTCCGGATGATGGCCCAACATGGTGTGCAAACTCTCTTTGCATCCAGGCAACACGAGTTAAATTTATTATAGTCAATACTAGTCAATACTACCCACATTTCAAAAGCTATTTAAGCCGAACCTTACACACTTTCGGGCATTCTCAAGTGCTTTCCCTTGCTATAATTAATTTTAAATTTCATTTAATGAGTAGACTGCGTATTTTAGGTCACTAAATTGATTACTTGCAGGGCATTAAAATTAAATTTTGTTATAACTTAACAGTATGGATTCGCTATAAAGCATTTTATCATCACTATTAGAACTGCACAATCAGATTTTATTCGCTTATATATAGAAGTATATATGTACATACATATATGTACTCGTACAATGTATAGAAATGTAATTACAATCTTATAAAGCGTCTAAGAAATGAACGTGATTTTTTCCTTGGTTGCAAACGCAACTTTGTGGTCACGATTTGGTACCATTTCATTTCCAAGGCAAACGCTAGGCCGGCCAGCAGCAACCCAACGCACCATGTCCGAACAATTGACGAAAAAAAACTTAGGCTTAAGGGTTTGGGTTGATCGTTCACAATTGCCATATGCAAGTACCCCAAATGAAGTGCCTCCAAAAAGGCCTCGCTGGACCAATGATCCATTATTCCTGATTGCATAACAATCATGATGAACCCCTGGAGCGGTGATCTTAAGTGCGAGTCCCTTGATATCGGATAAACATGATAGAAGGGACCCGAGCAGATGTTCGTAAGGCGAAAAAGTGGCTTACGTAAATGCTGTTGTTGCTGGTCTAGAAAAACCCAGCGATCGCTAGTAACGCTGTAGCCATGGCTGGCGTTTAACGTATCTCGATAGATATCAAAATCCCGCTTCTCTACTATTTCGACTTGCTGCAGAAAACGTGAAGTAAACTGTTTGGGGAATCGCAACATGTGCTCATACTCGAAGTCAAGAACTTTGAGTTTCAGATTGGCATCTATTATATCTTGAACACTGTTCAGCTGCCGCCGTGACGGCGCTGAAGTGAAATAGCTAGCCATTTTAGAGATATACATGGTAGAAGTAACCAGGCCCATAACAAAGAACAGTACAAAGAGCGTACGCATTCGTAAAGATTGTGATTTAAGGACCGCGAGTGGGGTGGCGTTCGTCAAACTGCAAATGGACTGTAGAAATGCGGCGCCCAGGTCACGTGGTCTTAACGGAGAGCACCACCATATTGCAAAGCTCATATAGATGACCGTGAAGAAAATTAGAATCCAGGAACTCCGCTGCAATGCATCTCTCATGTATAGATGCTCTGGCGATTGATTCCGATACGGCACCATGAAGCACCAATCATTGATGCCGATGGGATAGCTTTGGTCAATAGCATGGATACCCATGGCCGTGAATGAGTGCACAAGCGTCTCGTAAACGCCCTGCGAAACTAAATTCAAGAAGAATTCCAAATTCAGGAAGTTCATGCTGTAGTTAGCGGATGTATCTACTAGTGTTGCGTTCACGGACTCGAGAAATGCAAGAAAAAGGTTTCCGCTGGTGCCTCGTACGAAGCTCTGTTCGTAACTGTTGCTTGTCCGATAAGATTTAAATACTCGCGGCATGTCGTACATTATGGGTGAGCGCACCACGTATCCCTGCATATCTGTCCAGTAGACCTGAAAGAACTCTTCCGCTCGCCAGTCACCCGTCTTGTTTATCACTGTGGGTGTGGGGTAGGGATTCTGAATATACACGTTATCTTTTATCGTAAGTAGCAATGTGTTAATGAACTGCTGGCGCCACACCCATTCGTAAGTTGTCTTAATGAGACTCCCAAATTGAGTGTGTGTCTCAAAGTCCGCATAGAATTCGGATGTACCCAAAAAAGGTATAAGTATAAAGATGGTTTTTAGCCAGCGCAAGCCCCGCAGGCTGCTGGAGGCGAATTCCATTATGGGATCGTCCCGTTCCGTTGTGTATATAATTACCAGGGAAGGTGTGCTAATGAACTCCGCCATAGGAACCGAATCATTATAGCCGTGTCGTAGGATAACATTGGGCGCCGTAGGAAATGTCAGCCAGAAGTTGCGAAAAAAATCTAAAGCCCCCTCAGTATTAAGGCTTAAACGTTCCGAAATGTAAAAAACAAAATTCTTGAACTGATATAACTCATTTATACGATGCACAATGTCAATTACAAAGGTATTATTGACTGGCTGTAGCTGCAACGGCGCCGTTGTATTGTCCGCTGTAGACTCCACATCCACGTAAGACGCGTTCAATACGCCCGACATAGTCAATATAAACTGAGCAGTAAAGTAAACCAGCAGCATTTTTAGTAACTAACTGTCTTTGGCTTACTGAAGTTGAGGGGCTGATGAAATAGTACCCTATGCTGACCATCGCGTGATGTCATTAATGGCCACTTATTGTCTAAGGTCACAATGCAAAATGGCACTTAACACTAAAAAATGCTGTACGCGGTAATCAGTGTGTTTACATTCATATTATTTAGGCACTGGGCCATAGGGTGGTGGTGTACCCTGCCGTGTCACTGCATCACATGCTTACTCACTCATAAAACTGAAGCCCACTTTAGTCAATCGTATCTTTAGTACAAATCTGGCATATTTTATAATTGGACAAATCGTATAAAGTCATGCAAAACCGTTCTACACAGGGTCTAATTTAATATTTCCGTTCGTAAGATAAAAAGGATTCAAAAAGTAATTATGTATATATTTATATGAAAATAAATAAAATATATAGCATCTGGTGCGTTCAGGAAATGGAAATTAAGCCCTTGCGCTGAATAATTCAAATGAGTTCCATTAAAGTGTGTTTTCGCCAAAAATCATATGTACAAACTAAGGCCAGCGTTTTTTGTACATTATGAACTTTTGATGCCACAGGTATTAAACCTTAATTGTAGAAAAAAGACTATATTTTTATACCCTGTACCCAATGGGTAGAAGGCTACAGTTTTGTGCGAATGTATGTAACACACAGAAGGAGGCGTGGCAGACCCCACATATTATTGATTAGTATGACAACACGAGTAGATATAGCAATGTCTGCCTGTCCGTCCGGATCTCAGAAGGTTTAAGAGCTAGATGTGGACACATAAGCACTAACTGGATGTAACTACCAAAATTGATTTCAAAATTCCAAGAATTACAGAATTTATAAAACAAAAAACAGGAATTGCGGGGGAGTGGGGGGTTGTATCAGAAAAAAAAAACACAAACTCGTCCATTCTCGGACTTAGGAGAATCTGGATACCAAGATTTGTTATTCTTGCTCTTGTACTCGCTGAGATCTTTGCGTTCATACTGACGGACGGACAGACGGACATTGTTATATCGACTCGACTTGTCATCCTGATCAATCTATGTATATATATAAAACAGTTTGTCCTGACTGACTGACTGACTGATTGGTGAGCAACGCACAGCCCAAACGGTGAAGGCTAGGAAGCTGAAATTTGGACTCAAGTATCCTTTCATAGTCTAGGTCCCCACTAAGAAGGGATTTTGGAAAACTCGAGCTCCAAAGGGGGTAAACAGGCTCCAACGTTTGTATGAAAAATCTACAGTTTTCATCTGATTAACTTTAAACTTAGTTTGTATACTCTCAGAACAATTCCAAGAAAAACTGTATACTTGTTTTTTTGATATTTTTTTGGGGCCTAAAATATGGGAGTTTTCCTGTAAAAAAAATGTTGGGGCACAAAAGCAAACCGCGTCAACAGCCCACAGCCCACACGGTAAAAGCTAGGATGCTGAAATTTGGGCTCAAGTATCCTATCATGGTGTAGATGCGCACTAAGAAGGGATTTTGGAAAATTCGAGCTCCAAAGGGGGAAAAGTAGCTCCAAAGTTTGTTTGAAAAATCCGCATTTTTCAACCGATCGACTTAAAACTTAGTTTCTAAAATCAATTAAAGAATACAAACAAAACTGCATACTTAGAAATTTGTGTTGGAGCTTGAATTATTGGGGTTTTAATATTTATTCACTATTTCAAATGAAAAGTTTGTGTTATAAATTTAGTCCGATCGATTTAAAATTGGATAATGTAATCTACGTAACTAAATCTACAACTTTGCATTCAAGGATTTTCAAAATATGCATTTTACAAAAGCAGGCAGAACAAACAATACAAAATATCAAACAGTTGGGGACAACTAAGTATACATACACACACATACAAACAGCTGTTCGTGTAGTTGCGTGCAAAAGATTGAAATAGCCAAAGAAAAATGTGAGACACTAATGTGTGAATGTTCATTTGTACACATGTATGTACATACATACATACATATGTACAAAAGTACATTCGTCTTGCACTGACAGGGCAAGAAATGTTAATTAATTAAAAATTATTAACATTATAACATAATCATTTTTATGTTATTTTTTCTTTGTTTAGTACATTTGGCATAAGGGGTTTTTAGGACAACGGACTACAAGGGCGTACGCAGGTTGGGCAGGGGGGACATTGCTCCCCCTAGAAAGAATTTCGCATTATGAATTACACCAGCACCATATGTATTACATACGTACATACATATTTATAGTATGTACATTTGTACATACATATTTATAGTATGTACATTTGTACATCAATAAGTATGTATACATACATATACATACATTCTTATATACATATGTATGTATATGTATAGGTTTGTATGTATGCAGTGGGCCATCGAACACTGTTGTTTAATTGTAATAAATAGTGTTCTATGGTTTCAAATCAAAATTTTTAAAACAACAACTTCAAGTTATTAGCTCGCAAATCTTTCGTTTTGATCATTTACGGCTGTTAATTGCATACGCAAAATGCCAAAAGTTGACAGTTACCGTACACACACAAATACATTTGTATGTATGTATGTACATATGTGTACAGTGAACAATCGAATACAGTATTATAATCAATAACTCTCAAACGATGTTTTTCGATGTATTTGTATTCGACATGTATTACGATATATCAACACAAGTATCGATATTTTCGATATATCGCATTTAATTTTATTATTGGGGTTTTAATATTTATTCACTTTTTCAAATGAATAGTTTGTGTTATTAATTTTTGTCCGATCGATTTCAAATTTGGGTAATGTAATCAACATAACTATATAAACAAACTGGCATTCAACGATTAAAATATAGCAATATGTTTTTTACTTGCCATATATCAAATAGTTGGGGACATCACATACACATACAACAAGCAACAGTTCGTGTCTATGTGTGCCCATGCATACATACATACATATGTACATGCATATGTATGTAGCATGTACATACAAAACAGCAACAACAACTGCAAGTCATTAGCTCGCTCTTCTTCTTTCGTTTTGACCATTTAATGTTAATTGCAAAGGCAAAACGCCAAAAGTTTACAGTTACCGTCGCTAGGCAACGACTGCGTAAGCGATAGTAAAGCAGAAACCGAATATCGGAGCTACGCATATTCTGCTTCGCATTGCGGGCAGATGTATGTATGTATATGATTTGTTATTATTGATCTCAATAAATAATTAGATTTTATTATTTAAATATTCTGCTTATTGCATTCAAACTTCGATATTTTGATGGTATCGGTGGCTTCAACTATCGAAAGTTTTACTCTAGCAAATTGAGATGAGAATTGTCAGTGCTTTTTGATCGTGGATCATCGCTGCACGGCATTGACACGAGTGCCGTGTTTCATATTCCGAGTTTGTGCGTGACCGTATTGACTCAATATGGCACGAAAAGACTCAAATGTGAATTTAAAATTAGGATATACCCTTTTTTGCAGATAGTCTATTTTAAAACGTTGCGTTATCTCTATATATAAGACAGTTTGTCCTGACTAATTGGTGATCAACGCACAGCCCAAACGGTAAAAGATGAAATTTGGACTCAAGTTTCCTTTCATAGTATCCATCATAGTGTAGGAGCACACTAAGAAAGGCTTTTGGAAAATTCTAGCTCCAAAGGGGGGAAAACGAGCTTTAAAAAATATTAGTTATAGTGGTCATGTTCGTTTAACGAAATAGTTAGGCAAGAACAAAAATGTAAGGGACTACTGAACAATTTTTTGTCAAGAACAGAAAATGTTCATTTAAATACCTTAAATCAGCGGTGGGCACGTAGTGGCTCTTTGGGCTCCCAGGGCTCTTTCCGTTATGTTTTGGTAACTGGCGACAGCCAGACGCACAAGCAAAGTACTGATCTCGAGCAAACTTACAATAACAAAATACACGCAGTGTTGTCGCCAGCCTGACGCACAAGTAGATCGATGCAATAACAAAATACACACAGTGTGTGTACTAATGATCGATTTGCAATACCCGCTGACGGTCACTTATGCACTGACATTCAAAGTGTATTGACAAATTATAAATTATAGTGTTTCAGTAAAACTTTTATGATTTTCGTCAAGTTATTTACTTATAATCTTACTTACATATATTTGATTTAAAACTGAACAATGGCTAATGAAATTAATATTTCCGAGATTGAGACGCGGTATTTTTTTTTCCTATTAAATGTGGGAGTACATCAGTGTCTTATTTGCGGAACTGTGGTATGTTAAAAAAAAAATTATAATATTCGGCGGCACTATTTTAATCACCATGAAAATGCATATGCATGTTGAATGATAGAGAAAGGTTGGAACTTGTCGTTAAGCTAAAGCCAAACAGCATCCATTATTAACATCTTCAATGCTTCAATTAGAAGCAAGTTTTGCCAGCACTTATGTGTGCGAAGCTGCATTTTCAAGCATTAAATATATTAAAAATGTTTATAGGAATAAATTAAGTGACATAAATTTATCAGATTTATTACGAATTGCTTTAAGTGAAGAGGAAATAGACTTCGAAAAATTATTAAATGAATGTTCATAAATGTGATCGAAATTTTTTTCGGTGTACTTTTTTTTCCTAATTTTTTGCTCGCAGTTTATGATGTTCTCATAACCCAAATGGTAGTTTTTGTTGTAGATGTTGTTGTAGGACTCCCAAACTAAAATTTCGTGCCCACCGCTGCCTTAAATGCCTTCCTACTGGTAACTTATAAGGTAGAAACATATGGGTAGGTTATGCACACACAAAATAAATACAATCGGAAACATTATATTAAGCCGGGTTAAGACGGGCAATACCTACTAGTACTACATATGTATGTACATATGCATGCATATTTCTCTTTACTTTTTCAACCGTACGTAGAGAACCGCACACATAGACACGAACTGTTGCTTGTTCTGTGTGTGAGTGTGTGTGTATGATGTCC